ACTAACTAGACTTAGTGAAGCTGGACTCGACAATGGTTGCGAACCTTATTCGAAATGCAGCTTTTATCACTGTTTTCTTTGTCTATAAGCGGTAGACTACTGAACATTGACAAATGTAACTTAGAAATTGAAGTCATAAGGAATAGAATCACCGCGTCATTTCATTCATTGAGACGCAACCGGTCTTCCACTGGGTTACCACCGCAATTTGTCAATTCTCTCTAACGTAATCTATTCTCTGCATAGGTGTGCTACATCGAAGCGTCCGGGTTCTACCTCGGCAAGCTGCGCGGTCTTCTCGGCGACGGCAACAACGAGCCCTACGACGACTTCAGGATGCCCAACGGAAAGGTAACGCGGAGTCAAAAGAAGTGTTAGTGTTAATAAGCTTATCGGTGACGTCACTGTGACGTGGCCCGCACCGACGTGACTTCTTGGGTGCAGATCGCCACCTCGGAGGCCGAGTTCGGGCACTCGTTCCGCCTGGCGAGCAGCTGCGCGCAGCCCAAGACGCCGGCGCACGCGCACGCGCACGGCGCGCTGCCCGCCGCCTGCGAGGAGGTGTTCGGGAAGGCGTCGCCGCTGCGGCCGCTGGCGCTGGTGCTGGACGCCGAGCCCTTCAAGTGAGCTCCGATTCTTTATTTCACGGCATTCGCCGTTACTGTCCGTACGGGCTAAATAGGTTTACAAAATGGATCGCAAAACTTAGTTCTTTCTCGAGATCCCCTTAATCCTTCGATTAAGGGGATCTCGAAACTTCTATGAAACTTATTTCACCACTATCCGTCCGTCTGACTCAATTCCGTAATCTAACAAGTCGAAATTATAAATGAGTAATGCCTGCAAAGCTTAATAGAATCTTATATGTTAACCGACACGTGTCTCCCATACCGTACCGGACCTATTAAAGCCCCCGGCCAATAAGAGCCCTCGAATTATTCACGAAATTCAATCGCCTTCGCTCCAGCCAGTAGCGTCTCGGCTGTCCGTAATAATTTTCTTTCCCTCATCAGACAAGCCTGCTCGCATGCTGTCGCCGGAGATTCGGCCAACGCCCTCCGCCAAGCGTGCGACATTGGCAGCGGGTACGCCGCCCTCGCCGTCTCCGGTCTGTTGCCCGCCGTCATGCCTGCCGTGTGCGTGCAGTGCACCGACGCCGACCAGCCCAAGAAGGTCGGAGAGAGCTACGAGCTGAAGGTCCCCAACAAGCAGGCTGATATTATAGTTGCTGTTGAAACGACTGTGGTAAGTTTTTAAAACAAATAACATATATGGTAAAAGAACTAAAGACTTTATTATTTTATAGACTAAATTTAATTTAATTTCAACATGGTTTAACTATCTTCCGTCACACTTAAAGGACATTAAAGGGAGTAAAAAATCTGTTAAAAATTAAATAAAAAATGTTTGTTACATACAATGTAGGCATCGAGTTATAACCAGAAATAGAGACAAAACAAGGGCCATCCATGCCTGTCAACTCATCAGACAAGTGGGTCTTATATCACTTATAAATATCAACTCTCGTTTGCACTGAAATCACAAATTAGAGAGCTTTAATGGTACAGCGCCAATAACTGACCTGTATATACGTCTCCGTATAAAAAAAAATTTTATATTTATTGTAATAAAGATAATATCTCTAACTTTGGGGGCTGTTCTATACGGTGGCGTGGGAAAAACAACAAAACAACTAATTACAAAACAAACGGAATCACATTTCATCGGTAATTAAATATGTAATTTTTCCGTTTCCGCCCATTAAGAGAAGCTCAAGTTAAACTGGTCGAATTGAAGTGAAACAGTTGACGACACCCGTCAATTGTTTCGAATTCGGGCTGGCCAATCGGAGCGCAATTGTTACCGTATTGATTTTTCAGAAGTTTTCAAACAAATTAAATGACATTTCGTCTCTATTTCTGGTTATATACTCGATGTAGGTAAATATTGAAAAACTGTAGCGTAGCAACCAAACTCTCCCGATAAACTTTTATGAAGTTTGGGACCTTATCTTATTCGTAAAAAGGTCATTGAAAATATAAATAAATAAAAAAAAAGTATTCCGTTTTATAAAATACTTCGACATGCATGCGACATGAACCCACATAATTCAGGTAAAAAACAGTCATATACGAAGAATTATCTGTGAGCAGTGTATATAAATAGACCTGCAGTAACATATGTACCGAAACATAAAATCTAAATTGTGCAAATACGTGACGGATACAAAATATCTATAACATGTTATTTTTGAACGTGAGGAGATTAAACTCGTTTCTCTACAAGTTCAGTGGAATCAATGTCATTGTGGACGAGCTCGTATAAAAATGTACGTGCTGTCTAGGAAACGTCGTCTAGAAATTAACGACTACACATTGTACCTTTTTACACTATCAAATTAGAAATTCTCGCCAAATGGTGCGTTGAAATGGAGCGCCGAGGAGGCGTGGCTTATTCCAGCGTGATCATGGTCGAGTTTTTGAAATTTAACTAGTCAGATAAAAAGTCTCTATTTAGTCGGTTATAGTCTCAAAAAACTAAATATAGTCAGTCCGCCCTTCAAAAGTTATAAGGGTGTTTCACTGTCCACGCTGGAATAAGAGAACCACAACACCTATCTTAGATCTCATTACAAAAAAGAAAGTCGTGATTTAGTCGGTTCTAGTCGTAAGAAACTAGATTTTGAAGCCGTTTTGAAGTTATTAAGGTGTTTTACTATCCACGCTTGAACAAGCTCATTCCGGCGGCACCATTTTTAAATCTCGAGAACCACAGCTCCTAGCTTGGATCTGATTCGACCCAGAAAAAATCGTGAATAGTCGGTTCTAGTTGCGAAATTTTAGAATTTGTAAGAAGGCACTTGCGAGGAGGGGTGCTGCGGTACTTAAGTAAACGGCGTTACGTTACGCGACACAGCCTTGCTGGTGTGGTACTCGGTGCGTTGAAATCAGAGCGTTCTGACTACGCAACACATCGACAGCGCCCATGTGGCATCGATTTTCTTTTTATAATATTTATTGCACAGGGAACAGCACAGTATACATTTAATAAAAGGAAAACACAAAAGGTACTGCTTATTTCTATAACAAATTGCTTCCTGCATACCTAAATACAGGACAAAGTAATTGTAGTAACGGGCTTACGTGCACAAAATACAAAATTATGTAATACAATATTTAACATTAAACTATTATAAACTAGATAAATACATGTTTCAAAATGCTTAATAATACCTGTAAACTGGATGGAACAGTAGATCTTATTCCTGTGCATCCCCTTCTCTTTCACACTACATTTAATTGACATTTTTTTCGATTTCAGCCCAACAAGAAGAACTACAAAGATCTGGTGATCCCTCTGGTCTCCCAACTGGTGGATGCCCTTAAGAGCAAGCACATCACCGATATCAAAGTGTACCTCGTCGGCATCACTTCCAAATTCCCATACCCCATCGTCTATGACACTGACAGTGAGTTTTTCTCTATGGAATTGTATGAAATATTTGAAATGTTTAAAATGGTCAACCTTAACAAACGTAGAGACATATTAGATATGATTTTTCTATACAAAATTATCCGTCACAAAATAAACTGTTCTTCACTCCTTAGCCAATTCAAACTTAAACTACCGCATAGATATCCCCGTCATAGAATTAAAGCTCTCTTTTCGACGCCAATTCGCAGGACAGTAGCGGGTCGCAACTCGCCAGTTCCTCGTCTATGCAGCTTGTATAACCATTTTATCGTTAATATCAATAATTTAGATATATTTCACGACTCTTTGGTTAAATTCCGTCGATCGATTACATCATCGTGACCTAATTTTCTTTAGACTTTCAAATATTTTTTTTTCTGATAATAATATTGTTTACTATTTAAGTAAATACATAGATACAAGTATAACCCTTCGCGGACTACTTTTTTGAATTCACTAATTTACTTGCACGTGGTGTTCATCTGTTAAAAATTGTGCAATTAGTATAAACCCTAGAATAGAAACCACTCATAATGTATTTGTTGTAACAATTGTTGATGAACCTTAATAAATAAATAAATAAATAAATAAGTAAATATTTGTTAACATGACCGAATCTAAACACTAAACGTTTCTTTACACAGTAAAACTGAAGAATCCTAAGGTAAATTTCGATGACGAGAGCCGATACAACCATATCCCCACAGTAACGACTGGCTTTGAGAAGTTCGACAGTACGGAAAAATACATCATTGAGACCATCAACGACTTGAGGATCACTTTTGGTGAGCATACTTCAAATGGCAATCCTAAGTGCGTCACTGCCTCCGATCCGTATTCCATCGCAATCCGAGAATATACAAATCTAGAAACACGGACTGACTAAGTCCACAAGTCCGACACAAACCGAGAAAATACAAATATTGCTTGTACACCCACTAGATCACTAGATGATCCCTATGACACTTCATTTGACGGTTGACGATAGACTGTTGTAAAATTCAAATGTTGGATATTAATATAAATAATTTGGCACAGGTTTAACGAATATGGTAGCCGGGTACAGGTCGCTTATGGACCTGCCGTTGAGGCCGGACGCAGTGCAGCACACCATCAACGTTGTTGGCGAACAGTGCAAGAGGGCTTGCTCTATTGTAAGTACATCATCAGAGCCAGACTCGTCGGTGTAGCCTGTTCAACTCCTCACTGTTCATAGCCAGCTCTTTGACGTCTTTATGACTGCTCTATTTGATGTTCTTTTTTATTTGTTCCTGTTCTTCGTCTCTTTCTTTTTCTATCTATTTTCCCCTTAATTATAATTCTCACAAATTCGTCATAACGTAACAAAATAAGTAGAAACAACAAAAACTGTAAGTACAAAGATGTCGTAATAGCACATTGTGTATTAAGGGCGTTAAATCAGGAATTACGAACGAGGCTTTATTAAAAGCCCGAAGTTGAAGACTGAGGGCTTTTTGGTTTTTCATCACATTTGCGAGGAAATAAATACAAAGATAAATGCTCGAAACGACAACAACGATATCTATGTACAACTAGTCAGCTGCTGGTAGCTGTAAAGTAACCTGGCTGAGTGAAGAAATAGATTTCTCATAGATGGCGCTACGGTAAAAAAGTCGTTAAAAACCAAAATAAAACATCTGCAATAACCACATGAAAAGATTCGTAAGGTCCGCTAGTTCGTTCCGTGGCTTAGTTGGCATAGCGTCTGGCACGGTTTGCTGGAAGACGTTGGTCCGAATCCGGCCGGATCGAAGGAATTTTTTCTAAGTGCTCGATCTTTATATTAATAATTATAAGAAACTAGTGGAGTAATTTCACAAAAATAACTGAATATCATGGTAATCAAACATCGTGATGTTCAATAAAACTTAAAAATTTCAATGTAATAACAGGCAATTTAAATCGACAGGTTGAAATTGTACGCACGCTGGCGTACGCGGCCACCTTCAGCACGATGCCATACTCGCACACCCTGGTCACCGTCAGCCCGATCACCAAGATTGGCGGCGGCAAGAGTCCCGCTCAGGTTGTCGGTGAGTACTGATACCAACAAAAGACTATGGACAGTTTTTGCCCTTCGGCACTTATTTATCGATTTCTTTTGTACAACTTACACATGCAAGTTGTACAAAAGTTGTGTTGTCGTGCCCCGGAACGAAAAAGGTAGGGCACAACTAAATTTTTTATCAAAACTAAGTTACATCGTATTTAGGAAAAAAGACCTTTTATGAAACTGAATCTCTTAGCATTAAAAATAAATTAAACAATTTTATTCTTTTTGTATGAAAAAATATTTTATAAAATTTGACCAACTTCTGCTGTTTCGATTTTTCTCGTCCAATGGAATGATCCTTACATGAAACTGAGTTAATAAGCACTAAAAAAAAATTTGATCTATTTGATTCATTTTTATGAACATCTGTATATCTGAATAGTTGTTAAATCGACTCCTCCGCAGAACAAAGACCTATGTGCGAGATGTTGCTTATTATCGCAACATTGTACATTTCGTTTGTTGTTCTTGACTGCAGATATCCACATTCAAGATCGACTGTTGTTCGATTTTATATTTCCGAAACGAAATAATAAAGGCCTTTTGAATAACGAGATTATGTTTTAACCTCTTTTCGCTGTATAATCACATCGCACGTTGTGCTTCGGTTGAGTCGAAATGTACTGCAAGCTTAAAGGTCACAACTGACATTAAGATGGAGCAGAGGAAAAATTCCTAATCTTCGATTTGATTTTAGAGGGGTATATCCACTTTGAAGTTAAAAATAAAATATTGTATGAGTAACTACACGATATATTCAAGCATAGACACTAATCAGAAACATAAAACAATAAAGTTTCCTCGATAGATAAAAATCACGAAATGACCTAGAGGTCATTTTCACATTTTTTCGATTCATCCTCGAAATGCTACAGGTTATTAGGACAAAAATTAGATAATTAATTATATTTATGCAGGATCGAGAACTGTAACTACGGATTTTTTTTTAATCCCTTTAGTTTTAGAGTTATTCCGCTAAAACGAATTTGGTACTTTTAATGCGCAAAATTCAACATCTCCTGTCGCATGTCACGCGATCTTCAGGCATATATTTGTTTCACAAATTAGGGCGGAGCCAACGTCAAAACTTTTTTGACATGCTCCCGCTTAATAATCAGATTAGAAATTTTTTTATAGTAAAAAGTCATATTTGACATTTTATTATGTTAAAAACAATAATATCAAACTGTGCCCTTATTATGTAATTCAATTACATTATAATAACACAAAAAAGGCACAACTGAATACAATTATTGTGCCCTTTAGTTCTATTCATGGCTACAGAAGTCACATTCCAATTAGTTACGCCCTTTATATACATTTATAATATTTTGTGTATGTATATATGTATATAACATAAATAAACTATTTAATATGAAACGTATATTGTAACTATTCGTTTCATCGGAAAACCTTAACAAATTTTAAACACATTTTATTCCCTTCAATAAATATCTGCACATAAGAAACATTTGTTTATATTTTAATCACACTAAAAATCATTTGATCGCTCCACCAGGCTACACGGACGATTCGGTGCTCCTGTTGGGTGACAAGGTCGCCTCAAAGGGCTCAGATAACCTTAGAGACTCGCTTGAGAAAGATGAACAAGACCCTTGCATCAACTTCATTGAAGGAGTAAGTTGTACTACGAATATTATTTTAAGACACGCCCTCGCCGGGAGTAATGTAACAATACAAGATTTCGCACCCCTCATGAAAGAAATAAGTAAAGTTACGTCAAAAATTTTTGTTGCTCCATTTGATGATGAAAAATATAACCCACACCTCTCCAATGGAGAATGGAGACGGAGAGGATATATTTTTCTGTGTGACAATTTAACGTTTTAAAAGAAAACTTACTTTAACTTTATCAATGGCATTGGTTGCCAACAATGACCACTTTGTCGACAACCAATGCCATTGGTATAGAGTTTTCTATTTTGTGCGTCTTGTAACTATTTTATATGTATATTTTGATTAATATATAACGTAAAACCTGTTTACAAATAATTAAAAAAATACCTATTTATTCCAGACTGATGGCTTAGTCCTGGCAGGTGCAAACTATCATACCCTGAACCCCGGTCAGCAGAAGCAGTTCCTTCAAACGGCAGTGAGCACGATCACCAACAAGATGTTAGGTTCGAATCTGACTCGAAAGTGCGTCTGCGGTTACGTCGACCCCTTCCGTGTACGCTCCATTTGCGTCAATGAGGACAAGGCGGTAAGTTTATTAGCTGATCGATACAGTCCTTGAAGCAGATTCATCATCATTCACAATCCAACTTCCCCCACTGCTGAGTATTGAGGCATATAGTAATTCGTATCGTAGTTTGTGCCATCCTCCACGATGTCGTCTAACCATCTACAGGACATTCCAAGTTTTGACCAAAGTTCGTTTTTTGGCTGTCATTGTCATATCTGAATATTTAGTGACTCTACCTCTCCCTAATGGTGAAGAAAAACCTCGCGATGAAAGCTGCACATCGAGAAATTTACGTGATGGATTCTCAAAAATCCTGTCTTTAGAGGAGATCCGTGCCCAGTAGTGCAATAAGTAATAGGTTCACGATGACGTATAACGTACTTTAGATTAATGTAAAGAACGTTGTCATTAATCAATATTAACTTTGTTAACTCTACAGGCTGCAGGCAGAAGAAAGTAAGCAGATCACCACCGAGATCCAAATCTGTGATCAAGAAGTCGAGCGTACCGATCTAAACCAAAAAATATTCTTAATTTTATAATCTTTAACTAATACCTTAGGAGCGAGCGAGGCGCAAATACAGAAACACTATTTATTTAATAAATTATCCACTATAAATTGATAAATCCTTTAATGTCATTTAAATAGTAATTATTTACTATAAGCTTCTTGCACAATAAGTAAAATTATTTTTCTAAAATTTACGCTACAATGTATGGCTAGTTAGTAACGTTTCAAATTTGTCTATTCTTCGAAAATATCTTGATCTTATTGTCAAGCTATTTTCGAATTTTTAAAGAGATAACAAACTGACAACCACAAATGTCACTTTCAATAGCCGCAAAAACCTATTCGTCAGTTTATCTCATCGTAGTACTTCCAACTCATTGGCGTAATAGCCGCGTAATACAACGGAGTCATATCTACATAAAACTTCGCATGAAAGATAACCATGCCATGTTAATTGTATAGACCAAACACATCATGGTTCAATTCTCAACAAACTCACTGAAAGCATCAAGCATCAGTTAAAAACAAACGTCAAAGATTTATTACTATTAACCTGCTAAATTCATTTACATTTAGTCTTTATCAAATTCTTGCTTGCTTAGGTCAGTGAAATAATCCAAAACGACACTATTTTTATTATATCAAAAACAGGCAACAGAGCCACAACTGTACTTAATAGTTGTTGTATACTGATGCCGTTGGTTCTCACAACTATTCTTTCCATTCTTTCACAAATTAAATAGATAAGTAATTTTTTTTTATTATAAGGTCACATCCTCGTTTAGTTATTTAAAGGCGTTTGACAATAAAATGAGTACATTTTCTTTTAGGAAAGATATTTTAGATTGTAGGTTAGGAAATAATGAAAAATATGAATTTTCTTCACGATGATTCTGTTGTAAATAATTCATGAAATTATTATTTCACTCAAATGGCAATCTCTCATTTTAACATTTAAAATAAGCTGTTTTGCCAATTAATTAGGTGAATAAATATTTCACATAAATTACTTTCCAAAGAAAATATGCACGCCTTCGATATAACTCTAACCAATGTCTTCCACATTATTGTAACTGTAGCTCATGTAATTGTGGTTCATATTTTGGATGCAACAATTCTACCTAAACTCTACAATTTAGCTACCAAAAAAATATTTTATATTAATTAGACTTTCCAATGCCCTTCAATTACCAATGTCATTGGTATTATTCCACTGTATTTGTGAAATCTCGCTCGTGAAAACCAATGCAATGTATAAAGTTCAAATAATTTGTTATTGTGTGTACTGAAACGCCGTATGCGAAGGTATTATAGTAAAGTGAACTTTGTATTTAGGTTAATTAAAAAATGTACTACCGATTTGAATTTTCTTATACTAATGCACCTATTTTATGTCCTTTACGAAAAATTAGAAACAAAATTATTTAATCAAATTATTTATTTAATATATAAATAAACTATCGAAAAACACTTACAAAACATTCAAAGTAAATATAATCTCTTTATATATAAGATTAAAATTCTTTTCTTTAATTTACTCTTGAACCATCAATCACCATTTTTGTAAATTTTATAAACTAATTTGTCATTAAGAGTTTATACAAACTCAAATGGCTTTGGTTGCATAACAGTGAAAGTGTTGAAGATTTACACTGATTACTTTAGAATAGAATAGAATAGAATAGAATAGACATTTATTGCGACGCCACAACTTTACGGTGTGAAAACACGATTCATATAAATTTTCACGATAGAAAAAATATAAACTGATCTGGAAATTTTACAAGCAAACCAGCAATGTTTTTTTATGTCAACTGAACTAAATAGAATAGTATACGATATACATTTTTCAATTGGCCTTAATTCCGTTTGTAAAAAATAAATTCTGCAATAAAGTCAGTGTCTCTACCATTCTACCTAAGCAAAATGGACCGTATTAGTGCGGGAAATCTTTGCATTCGAGCCATTGACTTACAAATAAATGGACGACGGGTCTAATACAAAAACCACGAAAAAAATGTCCCAAGTCAACCTATTCGAAATTTAAATTGTAATGTCATCGCAGTATCGCGCTGTCAGTCGAACAAATGAAGACTAAAGCGGAGTTTGGCGCTCTGTATACGATTTTAGTGCCTTACAAGTGCGGACACTTTTTAGCGCGGACCCGACGTCCATATAATTGTAAGTCAATGATTCGAGCTAAGGTAGTATCGACTCGTATTGTCAAAAGATTATATCGAGGTTCAAGAATAACGTGTTTGTCTTTATTATATCTTATTTATCTATCAAATATAAGGCACTTTGGAACGTATGGCACTTTGGAAAGTGTTACACAATACAGTCGTTCAATAATCAACTTAATTACTGAGGTCTTAGTAATAATTTTTGCGCACCCATTTCATCCTAATGCCCCGCTGCGAGGCTGAAATCTTGACGGTTGCACTTACCGCGGCTTTTACTACTTCTTGTACCTGAAATAGGAAACCAATTATAAAAGGTATTTCCAGATTTCCCGATATTCAATGTTTATCCACTACATCTGCATCTCAAAGTCAAAAATCATTTATTCCATATGTAAAGTAAATTTACACCTAAAGACGTAATTTTTTAAGCTACTGCTCAACCATTGTGCTGACTTCCCTTACAAGAATGAACAAGGAACACAAAGGGTTGCTCTTTTAAAAAAAAAACAATGAAATGCTAAGGAATTTGAATCAATTTTGTGTAGAATCTAGAGCCGTGACGTCTTTCTTTATCTAAAACATATTCTTCCGTATATATAATATTTATATTTTGGAAGTCTTCTTTCTTAATGAAATTATATATATGTTTATTCATCTGTGATATATCAATAAAGAAACTAATTTTACCACAATTAGAAATGTCAAACTAACTGCCAGATGCTATAGTAACTGGCAAGCATTGCATAGACACACAACTCGTGTCACAGTTAAATTAATCGCTCTGTACATAACTTCAATGTTAAAATACTTACACTTATCATTAAGTTCTGCGCATTTCCTACAAGCATGTTCATGGCCTCCTTATCTTCATCAGAACCTGAAATCAGTCATTTAATTACCACGTCACATTTTTTATCCAACTCAAGAAAATTTTTATTGAAATCGATTACCGGTAAGTGCGCGAAACCGGGTTCATCCTCTAGTTTGCCACCCTTAGAGATAGAATCTCCCCTTTTTTTGAAGTCAGTTAAAAACGCCTTGCAAAGATCTTACCTCGCTGTCCAAAGGACGACCCTTTAACGGTGGTCAGCATCTTGAGTTGACCGCTGATGGTTGGAATTCGTTCGCACACTTGAAGCAAGTTCTGTAAATGAATATTTCTTAGTTATCTTTAAGAGACCAATATAGAATTTAAAAGTGATGACATAAATTGAGAACGTAATTTTTTAAGCTACTGCTCATTCACTGCGCTGAGCTCCCAGAGAAGAACGAGCAAGAAACTCTTGTTCTTTTCAAATAAACTCAAATGCTATATAATACACTTTAAATCATAATTGTGTTGAATCTAGACTCAAGTTGTTTCCATACATCTTTATCTAACACGTAGTCTACAATTTTGTAATATGACTTTTCAATTAAAATACTTTTAATACAAGTTTTAAACTTAGGAAACGGTAATCTTAAATCGGTTCCCCATAAAAGAATCATTTACTTTAATTAAACGAAATCGTGGTACCATGAGTTTGGACTTAGCTCTAAGGTTAATATTATGGATATCTTCTTTCTTATTGAAATTATGTATATTTTTACGGGCATATAAAATATTTGAGTAAATGTACTGTGATGCCACAGTCATGATACCTGTCCGCTTAAACATTTCTCTGAGAGAAATACGAGAATCTAAACGGTACACAGAACGAAGTGTAATCATTATAATTCCCTTGAGACTCACTGAGATTATATTGCAATTATGATAATATTTGTTATTCTGTTAAAATCTAGTTGCGACGGCACTTGAATGTCAACATTGTCAGTGGAATAGCAGAGACGGCATTCATTTATTCAATCACTAACGATCAATTGCCTTACTAAAACTACCGAGGAAATTACTATACATTGTGATGGGTGTTTGTTTCCATCATAGTTTTTGTTTCAAAAAGGTTCAGTGTCAATTTGTCACTATTTATTGAATATTTGACACTTAGTACAAACATTTAATATCGAATCTACAAAAAGTTATACACTAAAACGTGCGGTAAGGTGGGAGATTTCCCCAGTTATACCATATCTTATTTTTTATCTCGTTTAAGCTGCAAATCTTCAGTCGCAAGAAATGTAGTCTGTTACTATATCTAAGAATAGGGAACTAGCACGGCAGTCCAGGCATTTCAAATTCTGAAGGTGTCAGTTGGTAAGTTAATTTAGATATAGTATTTGTTATCTAGACAGCATGAGACAGAGTATGACGAATCAGTAACAAAATTACAATGAGACCCGCCACTTGTACTAAAGCTATAAGGGGGCTTGAAGCGGTGGCAGAGGAAGAGCTGTAGGGGTATGTGTGCAGGCCCATCATAGGGATCAGAGGATCCCACTAGTTCAGATCCAGAGGATCGATATGATGTCAAGGACCTATTGGGACAATGATAGTAGATAGAAGTTGGAAGAAGTGGACGTGAAAAGACACTCTATTTAACTTAGTTATTATTTGCATATTTCTAATTACTCTCATGAATTGAACTATATTAAGAGGGAGCAGAGGAAAAACTCCTAATCTTCGATTTGATTTTAGAGAGGTATATCCACTTTAAAGTTAAAAATAAAATATTTAAATAAAATTGTCTGAGTAACTACACGATATATTCAAGCATAGACACTAATCAGAAACATAAAACAATAAAGTTTCCTCGATAGATAAAAATCACGAAATGACCTCTAATTTTCACTTTTTTTTTATTTATCCTCGAAATGCTACAGGTTATTAGGACAAAAATTAGATAATTAATTATATTTATGCATGATCGACAACTGTCACTACGGATTTTTTTTATCCCTTTAGTTTTAGAGTTATTCCGCTAAAACGAATTTGGTACTTTTAATGCGCAAAATTCAACATCTCCTGTCGCACGTCACGCGAACTTCAGGCATATATTTGTTTCACAAATTTGGGTGGAACCAACGTCAAAACTTTTTTGGCATGCTCCCTCTTAACAATGTCCTCCTAACCTTCATCCAATAATTTATATGTGTAAATTTGTTTGTTTTTATTATTTCTTTTCGTCTCATTTGTTGAGTCCAATTTTTACCTTGATAAAATTACTGTGCAGGGCTGTCAAAATGTTTTGAAATCAGTGCCCTTACAGCCATGTTTGGCACTGCGTTAATCTTTTGCAGTCATTGGTCGCAGCGTTCGTGATGACATAAAAATGTGACGTCACGGTGCTCGCCATGTCAGTTATTGTGATAAAATGTTAAAAAGCCGGTTTATCACTCGAATTTAGGAGCTAAATGTGGATATAATAACTTTATCTATACTGGGGATGTAGCTCTTGTCCTTTCTGATTTTATTACTGACCAATCAGATAGGACACTCCTTTGGAGGGAAAAGAAGAAGGGATGAGTATAGATAGAGAACAGCAGTCTTATTCGCTAGTTCGAAAGAAGTTCAACATATTAGATAAGACAAATTGTAAATTGTAGAAGTATCTTCCGGCGATTACGAATAAAAAAGTTTAATTACTTTCATTAGTAAGGTAGAGGATAATATTGAAATAAATTGTATCTTACCGTCCGAATTCTCATGTCAGTACATTCGAGCGCGAGTTTCCGTGCGAGTCGCGCCACCTCGTGAGATTCTGTTACGATGGACTTCGAAGTTACGATCAAATCACGTTTCTTGTCTGTAAAACAGTTGAAAAGTAAGTTTAGGCATTGCTTTTATAAACTTTAGGAAGCTTGCATTAGTTATATGAGTTTGAAAGAATTATAGTTTTTATTTATTCATTACCAATCAATTACATAGGTGCCTACATTGCAAACGGTTATTCCCATCTGATACCCAAAACTGATCCACCGCTAATTTTAAATTGCAACTCTACATTTTGCAACTCCCAAGGGATCCCCGCATTGTATTTGTAAGGTAAGTACAGTCAAGAGAAAAAGAAGTTTTGAAATAAAATATTCTTTTATTGAGCAATTGTAATCAAATGTTATAATTGTCACTCATCCTAAAGCACACTAAGGGTCGTATTCAAGAACTCTGCTCAATGCTCAAGTCAGGAATTGAGTATGGTTTAAAGCACTCGAAATCATACTCAAGTTCTTGCCATTAAGGTCGTATTTCCAGTGCTTGAAATCATACTCAAGTCTGCTCAAATCCTGACTTGAGCATTGAGTAGAGTTCTGGAATATGACCCTATGTTCCTAACACTTTTGGTAATTTTGTTTTTAATTTTATATTATTTTTTTTATTAAACGCATACACTTATAACCCTGCACTGGTGAAACCCTGTATCGCGGGTGCCATAGATACACCCATAGCAAAAAATACAATTTTTTCCGTCCCTCCCGGAATCAAACTCGTGACCTCAGCGTGGCAGACCAGTAACCGTTAAGCATTTTACACCTAGTTTACAGTTGAATAGAAAACATGAGTAAATATTGTACGGCACAGAAGGTTACAATTAAACATACCCGTGTCCATGAAGTCGGAGAGCTTGGCCATGAGCACCGCCATGCGCTTGGCCGTGGCCACGATTTCGTTGTCTCGTCCCGACCATTCGCGCACTGCCGCGTGCAAATTCAGCGCCGCGTTCTGGAACCAATTTGTTTTTATCATTTCAAATAAGCTTTACTATGAAGTTACAAAGGAGATAGGTTTGGTTTTAAACTGTTTAATACACGGTGAAGATTATTGTTGATACAAAAACAGAACAATCCTAGGGTCCTAATGGGACGTGATTTAAAAGTGAACTGTATTACCATAGAGCTGGTATAATCTTGACTCGTCCCGAGCGTGTTTAAGACCGATTCGCAACAAACAACATAAAGAAAAATTTATTCGATCTGACTGGACTCGAACCAGCGTCTGTTGTCACACCGGAGCTACGGATCGAGTCAGCATATCTCACGAACTTCCCCATGTGCGTGTGACATATTTTTGTACCGGATATGAACAGCTTTTTTCTTTGTGTTGTTCGATTTATGTATCAATAATAAACTAATAGTCACAAAAAAATAATTTTGGTATTAAAACATCATTATATTAAATTGGGAAAGAGTTCGTCCAGGGAAGTACTGCCATGATAGCTATTTCTGCCACTCCACTCCAGGGTAAGGAGTGGTGTAATTTCAGGCACAAAGGACTTGTCAACTTTGTCTCATGGTGACGGGAGCAGTGGCTGGGCCCCTCAGACCTTCACAATTTAAAGCTCTAAATGGCACCTGTGATTGGTAAGCGTGTCGCTTACCACAAAGCTCACGAT